TTGCAGATCTACCTGGTAGGCCCGGGTGGTCGGGGAGGTGGAACTTAGCCCCTGGAGGGTGTGGTTGGTCTCCTGGGGAGTTTGTTCTCAAACATGAGGATCTGTTGTACCCATGGGACACGGCGGTGGACACATCTGGGTAAGGGTAGGGCATGCAGTTGGCATAGGAGAGAGCTCAGGGACAGCAGGCCATGAGTGAATTCTGTGGAACCTGAGTTGGGCCCACAGGATGCACCCACTGAAGCAGGAAGGCAAAGTAGTGGAGGGACAAGCCCGAGGCCAGTGGGAGAGGGAAGGGCGCTGCACGTGGAGCTGGAGTTAGACCGCAGAAGCAGAGCACTGTGCTGGCCGCGTGCCTGCAGCCCGTAACCTTCCTGGGGCCACCATGTGCTGCTGCCCCCGAACCCCCTGTGCCCTGCCGGTCTTCCTGGAACCTGGAATGCTTATTTCCTTCGGGTTGTCAGACCTCTCCTTTGAAGTAAGCCCTGTTCCGAGCTGCTGTGTGTCCAGGTACAAAGTGGGTGCCTGTTTGTTAATAAGTGGAGTATAGTGTAGTCACTTTCATATATTTATGTAAAATGTCCCTGAAATAAGGTTAAACTACAAGTTGACAACCACAGGCTGGCAGGGTGGGATACCTATAGTCACAGTCACAGTGCTTGATGCTTCTGCTGCCAGGCTGCAGGGAGAAGGTGGTTCTGGCCCCGTTCAGCTCAGGCAGGCTCTGCTCTGAGGTCACCACACCTGGCAGGCCTGGGACTGAGGTTCTGCATTGGTAATGCCAGCAGTGAGAGGAGATGCCACATGCTGTCACTCCTAGAGCAGACATTCCCTGAGGCAGGATGCCAGGCCCTGGGGTGGCATGTGTGAATTAGGTCACTGGTTCCATGATTTGGGAACATCTTTGGACGAGGAGAACAAACTGGGCATTGAGAACTGGACTGAGCTGGGCTTCTGGTCAGTTTAAGAAATACTCCTTAGGGTGGTGCCTGTGGCTCAGTGAATAGGGCGCCAGCCCCATATACTGAGGGTGGTGGGTTCAAACCTGGCCCCGGCCAAACTGCAACAAAAAGAGTAGCTGGGCATCGTGGTGGGCGCCTGTAGCCCCAGCTACCTGGGAGGCTGAGGCAAGAGAATCACCTAAGTCCCAAGAGCTGGAGGTTGCTATGAGCTGTGATGCACAGCACTCTACTGAGGATGATAAAGTGAGACTCTATCTCTTAAAAAAAAAAAATAAGAGGCTTGGCGCCTATGGCTGAAGTGGCTAGGGTGCCAGCCACATACACCTAAGGTGGCAGGTTCGAATCCAGCCCGGGCCTGCCAAACAACAATGAAGGCTGTAACCAAAAAATAATAGCCGGGCGTTGTGGCGGGCGCCTATGGTCCCAGCCACTTGGGCGGCTGAGGCAGGAGACTCGCTTGAGCCCAGGAGTTTGGAGGTTGCTGTGAGCTGTGATGCCACAGCTCTCTACCCAGGGGGACAGCTTGAGGCTCTGTCTGAAAAAAAAAAAATACTCCTAAGGAGTATATGGCAGGCTCCAGGCCGAGCATGGGGATCATGGTGCCTGAGGCACCTGCCTGGCTGTTGAGGGATCTTGGGGGGGGGGTCCGTAGACCTCATCCTCCCGAGCAAGCTGGCCCTGGAGCCCGCCTGCATCTGCTCCTTGCATGTCTGTCTTGCAGCTGGTGAGGGAGAACACAGACCCTGCCGGCGAGAGAGGAAATGCCAGCTTGCAGAAAGAAAGAGTGAGTCAGGTACCAGGGCCGTTTACCTGAATGTTGAAATCATCCTTGGGTTGAGACCTAGCGGGTGGCATCTGCCCAGCAAGGCTGCCTGTGAAGGCTGTCATGTTTCCCCGTACGCCAGGGATTCTGTTTCCTAGAGAGGGAGAGCTGGAGCCTTTCAGGCTCCCTGCTTTCTGGGCAGTATCAGAGAAATCACCATGGTAGTGAGGCCTGTATCCTATTTCTTGAGGGTCCCATTCAGAGTGTGTGGCAGGGGGAGGATGGCTGCTATATGGCCGCAGACCTGTGGCTGGTCTGTACCACTTCCCAAGATGGCAAAAGGGGATTATTTGGGATGGACAGGGAACAGCTGGGGTGGATCTGGTATCCACAGACACCACCTGCCTGATTCTGCCCTGCTGTCCCCAGGTCCTCCCTGAGGTGGCGGCCGAGGAACACAGCCCTGGGAGAAACATGGACACTGTGCTGGAAGAGCTTCAGCTGCCCCCGAACGCCGAAGGCCCCACCAGGCAGGTAAGACACGGGGTCTGAACATGAAGGCAGCATGTGCTTGGTGGGGCTCAGCCTGATGTGATTTGCTTCAAACAAAAAGAACCTACCATGTGGGATGAAGGAGCAGGGTCTGCAGTCTTAATTTCTGAGCTTGCCAGTAAAAGTGACCACCATGGTTTGGGCATACTTGGATTTTAGGAGACCAGTGGGAAGTGGGTGCTGAGTATGGGCCTCCTGCTGGAAAAGCAGTGCTGCCTGGCTTTTGCCCTCAGACATCTGTCACCTCTCACCTCTGTCCTCAGGTCTTGCCCCATAGACCAGAAGCAGCAGAGGCCCCTGGTCAGACAGGAAGCCCCATGGGGCTGAGAAGACCACTCCTCAAGCAGCCATCTGACCACAGCTATGCCCTTTTGGACTTAGATGCCCTGAAAAAAAAACTCTTCCTCACTCTGAAGGAAAATGACAAGCTCCGGAAGCGCTTGAAGGCCCAGAGGATGGTGATGCGGAAGATGTCCAGCCGCCTCCGTGCCCACAGAGAGGGGCAGCGGGGAGCCCAGGCCAGGCCTCAGCCAGAGCAGCGGAGCTGAGCCTAACAGGTTCTGGGATGTGGGGGCAGCGGCAGCACCAGGGTCAGGCACTGAATTTGGGGCTCTGGCTACTTTTGTCTGCTGCCAACATGAATGGTAGCAGTAAGGCTTGTTGCACATGGCATGGAGACTGTAGCATGGCCACCTCGCAGCACCAGGCTGGGAGAGTGGATCCCTGAGAGGGGCTGAGTCCTCCTGTGGCACGAGTCCAGTGTGAGGCTGGTGTCTGGACCACTGTCCTTTCAGTACTTGCTGAACAGGTATCATGGGAACCACAGCATGAGGAGCTGTCCAAGGCCTCAGGGGATCTCTGTGCCCAAAAGGAGAGGATGCCACTCTCCCAAGGTGCACTTTGAGAGTGGGACAGCTGACTCTGTGGTAGGGTGAGGGGTTCCCTCAGTCAGCCTGGACAGCTGACTTAGAACAGCTGAAACTAGCCTGTTCCGAGGAGTGAGTCCTACTCCTGGCCTGGTTTGAGTGAGCAGTGGAGTAAAGTGTCTTTCTACGCTGTGGTGGTTTCTCCTCTGAGTTTTCCCTCCTGCTACCAAGACTGACTCCCTATTTCCTGTAAGAGTGGGCAGGGTAGAACTACCATAAAAAAAAAAGTAGCTCGGTGGGTAGGGCGCCGGCCACATACACAGGAGTTGGTGAGTTCGAACCCAGCCCAGGCCTGCCATACAACCCACAACTACCACCAAGAAATAGCCGGGTGTTGTGGCGGGCGCCTATAGTCCAGCTACTCGGGAGGCCGAGGCAAGAGAATCATTTAAGCCCAAGAGTTTGAGGTTGCTGGGAGCTGTGATGCCACAGCACTCTACCAAGGGTGACACAGTGAGACTATGTCTCAAAAAACCCAAAAGAACCCCAGAAATTAAAAACCCTAGGGGGGCGCTTGTGGCTCAGCGAGTAGGGCACCGACCCCATAACGCAGGCCAAACTGCAACAAAATAATAGCCAGGCATTGTGGTGAGCGCCTGTAGTCCCAGCTACTCAGGAGGCTGAGGCAAGAGAATAGCTTAAGCCCAAGAGCTGGAGGTTGCTGTAAGCTGTGACTTCACAGCAGGGCAACAAAGTGAAACTCTGTCTCTTAAAGAAAAAAAAAACCCCGCTGGCTGCCTCCCTTTGGGTGCTGTTTCTCAGGGAATGTTTAATGGAGAAGATGGAACCACAGCATAAGCTAAGCCTCATGGTCTCGGGGGGTGAGTGGTGAGGGATGCAGAAGTGAGCGTTGGTGGGGAACACCTCCTTCCACACTCTGAGAAAAGAACGCGCAGGCCAGAGGCGTTGGTGTGCACCTGTGTCCCAGCCCCTCAGGCGGCTATGGCAGAGCACACAGATAAACTGAGAAATACTGTCCCCAGCTTTTAAGAAAGGTTTATTGTGGGAAGAGAGTGCTTTCTGTACAGCCAACTTCAAACAAAACAAAGAGGATTGATTAGTGCCCAGAACCGCCTGCAGCAGAGGGCGCCCAAGCCGCATCCACAGGAGGCTCATGCAGCGGCTGTGATGGGCAGCTGCCAGTTGGGGCAGTCAGACAATCTTCGTTTTAGAAATGGCCCACCTGAACTGCTTTAAAAACCAGAAGAAGGAGGTTCTCAGCAATTGCCCTGATACCAGGGTCAGGGAGCAAAGCCTGACGTTGGCAATAGTGTCAGGGGAGCTGGAGGCCAGAGCAGTCCCCAGGGCCAGCTGTCATGGCTGCTGGCCATGCAGTACCTGCCTGGAGGTGTCAGGGAGTGACCACTTCGAGGGCCCAGGCCACAGGCCTTGCTCCTTGGCCTGCATCCAGGCCAGGCAGGTAGAGGCCCCTAGGGCACCACCGGCATCACCAGCGCCACCTGCTGGGCACCGTGGAACGGCCCTGGTGACCACGCCTTGGGTTTGCAGGTCAGACCCCTGGTCTTGTTGCACCCCTCACCCAAAGCTTAGCCCTGACCTTGCTCCCTCCTCATCCCACCACAGTGCTCTAGAGATGGGTAGGCACAGGTGGGTCAGAGAGGGAGGGACACAGGTCAGTTCATACCCACTGGCAGCAGGGCAATTTCCCACAGGGACAAAGGAAGCACAGAGACGGGCCTGGGGACCAGGAGTTCTACCATACTGTCCCAGGCCAGGGGATGGTGGAATGATTTGAACTCTGGGAGTGGGAAAAAAGAGACTAGTTTTCCAAGCCTGTTTTTTCTCAGATAAAAAGCAGTTTTATAAACCCACAATCCTCTCCAGATTCACTTGGTATGATTTCAGCAGCAGAAGGTAGGAAGTAGACCCAACAGATGCTCCCCGGATCTGGGGGCCTCGACATGTAAGACGCCTTTCTCCCTTTCCACTTTCTCCCCACGTCCAGTGTGACTTTAGGAGTAGGTCACAGTCCTCTGTGGGGCAGGGTGTTCCACAGAGACCTCCAGACAGAGACCAGAACTACCAGTGGCTGCAGGGAGCACACATGCTGAGGACCCTGGGGGGACCCAGGAGGGCTGGAGACCAGGGCCCTTCCAGGAACATGATCCTTGGGAAGACAGCTGGGGGCCATGCTGCGGTCTGGTCCAGGGTGGGGCTGCCTCGGTCCTACCTACAGCACCCACAAAAGCTCAAGTGTCTGCGTGCCCTTCACATAATTGGTACAGTACCACCTTCTATGGAAATAATGTAAAATAAAAATGTCTGATGTCTGGGTTTTTTCCCTGCTTCCAAATTTGTAGACAAGATTTTCTGCAGCCTTTTAAAAGTCTTGTTTTCAAGCAGTTTATCCATCTGTATCAATCCGGTGGGCTGTGAAAGACAGACACAGGCTATCAGAAGGTGACCATGTCCACATTCCTTTCCACTTAAGGGGCATGGCAATCATCTGGAAGGGCTAGCAGCTGTCTGGGCCAGTGACTGGGCAGAGCCAGGCTGTCTAGAGTCAGCTGTTTTCACATCTAGCCAGTATAGCCCAAGTTTCCAAGCAAACAGCTCATTCTAATTCCACCTGTGGAAGGCCACAGTTCCTTTCTCAGGGCATAAGTCATGGGCTGGGAGTGCATCATGAAGCCCATTTAGTCGGCCTCCCTGCTCCCGGGTGGACAACTGGGGAAAGTGGTCGTCAGCTTATACTCTAATGAGGGCAGCTACTCACACTGCTTTGGTATCCGGAGGGCCTCGCTGTCCAACACCATCACCTGGTGCAGGACGCCTCGGAACTGATAGAGCACTTTCAGGTTCTTCTCTTCACCCACGCACGGGTCATAAAACCCAGGCAGCCCAGCCTGCAACCAACAGATTGTTATTCTAAAGATGACTCTGCACAGTTTGAGACCAAGCACTGACCCTCTCCACCTCCACCTCAAGTGCAGTGTGGAAGGAGAGGCAAATTTTGGAGCTTGAAGAAAGAGAAATGAGAATCTCAAAGATTCTCACGTGTCGTCCTAGACCTGCCTCTCAGCATGGGCCCATTCCTCCCAGTAAATAGGCCTCTGTCTTCACAGAAGCCCTTGCAAGTCAGAGACCTTGGATGACTTCTTCAGGGAGTCAGGGGTTCATTGGCCTGAGCTGATGTACACTTTAATTCTGGATGGGCCATGCCCCAAGCTCCAGAGGGGAGATGTGTTACAAATGACCCCACTCTCTTTTGGAGCAAGGCAAAATAAACACAATGCTGATGTCAGGGGCTCACACCTGTAATTCCAGCACTCTGGGAGGCTGAGGCAGGTGGATTGCTTAAGCTTAGGAGTTTGAGACCAGCCTGAGCAAGAACCAGACCTCATCTCTAAAAATAGCTGAGTGGTGGCACCTGTGGGTCAAAGGAGTGGGGTGCTGGCCCCATACACTGGAGGTGGCGGGTTCAAGCCTGGCTCTGGCCAAAAACTGCAACCCCAAAAAACAAATAAAAACACAGCTGGGCGTGAGAGCGGCCATTTGGAATTCTATGAATTACGCAGCTTATACAGCTGTAAGCTCTGGGCTGGTAAATAAAGACCTTCCTTATTAAAAAAAAAAAAAAATAGCCGGGTGTTGTGGCAGGTGCCTGTAGGCCTAGCTACTCAGGAGGCTGAGGCAAGAAGATCCTTAAACCCAGGAGTTTGAGACTGCTATGAGCTATGATGCCACAGCACTCTGCCCAGGGTGACAGAGTGAGACTGTGCATGCTGGTGCCATGAAGGCAGCGGTGTCTGTGCTACTCTACACGGCATATGGCAGCAGCTCCGTGGACACTGGCTGAGTGAATGGATGGATGATGGCTGGATGGATGAAGTAAACAGCTCCAATGAGGATCCTGTTCGAGTGAGGGCCAGGCTGGCCTCATCAGCCTGAACCTCCCCCCCAGCCCCTCTTTCTGTCGGGACCCTGTGAGCATGTGGCAGGCGGCAGCAGGTCCTGTAGTACCTTGGAGGCCTCTGTGAGGATGAGCTTCGAGTCCTTCACCAGGCACTGCAGGGGTACAGTCACATCGATCACCTTCACCTTCTCGCTCTTCTTGCTCTTGTCATTGACAAACTTCCCATACCAGGCATTCAGGATGATGAGCCCTGAGGGTGGACATGGTCAGAGCAGAGGTGGGCATGCTCCCTACACAGCTGAGACCCTGAGCACCCACCCAAGAGAGGACATGCTTTCTCACCCATCCTGGACTCTTCTGCCTCAATTATCCTTCGGACAGATTCCTGCATCAACCGAACCTGCCAGAGGACAAGGATGACGCTGTCAGAGCCCCATGGGGTCTGTTCTACCTTTGCTCAGAGGGCCACAGACAGGGATCCCCTGTTCATGCAAGCGCAGCTGCTCAGGTAGGTAAGGGGAGGGAGGCAAGACAACCCAAGAACTTGGCTCCCCAACTGGCCCACTTTGAAATGCTTAGGCCCAGAGTAGGTAGAGTCAGCAGGTAAAGACGAACCTTTAGTGCCACAAGCCCTAACCGTGATCTCCGTGGGAGTGGGAGTGAGACCCTAAGTGGGTGGGTATAGGCGTCACGGGCCCAATAACATCACACTAAACAGGTTGTCAGCATTTAGAAATGAAGAGGTTTCAGGGTGGGGTGTGGTAGCTCACGCCCGTAATCCTAGCACTCTGAGAGGCTGAGGCAGGTGGATTGCTTGAGCTCAGGAGTTTGAGACCAGCCTGAGCAAGAACAAGACCCCATCTCTACTAAAAATAGAAAAAATAGCTGGGTGTTGTGGTGGGCACCTGTAGTTCCAGCTACTTGGGGGGCTGAGGTAAGAGAATCACTTGAGCCCAAGGATTTGAGGTTGCTGAGAGCTATAATGGTGTCATGGCAGTCAACCCCAGGGTGACAGAGTGAAACTCTGCCCCAAAAAAGGAAAAAAAGAAAGAGGTTTCACATGAGAAGCAGGATTCCTAGTTCCTCTTGAGAAAGAAACCACTTTTTCCCACGGCACCATTCTACTGGGCAGAGCGGTGCTGTCCCCTCAGATTGGCACGTGACTGTGGGCTGCACTCCCAGCCTGAGGCATGCTCCGGGCAGTCTGCCGGGTGCTGACAGGCATTCCGTCCTGACCACAGAGAAGTTGACAGCGTCCCTGCCATGGATCCTGCATGTCTCTGTTCCCAGGACACTTAAAACCGGAAGACACAGAGGATCATACCAACCCCTTTCTAGAAACCCTTGTCATGCCTATTGACAGTAACTGTATGTGATCTTTAGGACAGGACTAAATTCCCCAACGTGGCATCCCAGAAGCAGTATGACGACTAAAATGGTTAATGAGACCAACGTGTGGGTGTGAAGTGTGTTCTCACACAGGCCCTGCGCAGAAACGTGGGTTAGGACACAAGACCACTCATTGTATCCCATGTCCCACGCAACAGCGGCAGGAAGACTTCCAGAGGCCTGGCAGGAAGACCGAGCACTCACCGCAGCTTCTGCCTCCTGCTTCTTCTGCAGAATGTCGGTGGCAGCACTCTCCCTCTGCTTCTCCAGGTCCCTGCGCGCGAAGAACACAGTCCGCACGTTAGTGCGGTGTGGCCCGGTTCTGAGCCGACAGAGCCCAGCAGACAGTCTGTGAACTCACTGGAGTTCTAGTTCTAGAACTTTAACAAACATTGCCGAGACAGCCTCAGGCCAGTGTGTCAGGCCCAGGCCTGGTGCTTGCATTTCTCCTCGGGTGGCACTGCCTCATGTCCTCACCAGGGCCACAAGTTACCCACTGGGAAGACGACTGTCCAGAGAATTTCTGGAGATTCCAACCTTCTGCGGTTTTTTTTTTTTTTTAGATGGAGCCTCAAGCTATCCCCCTGGATAGAGTGCC